GGAATTCATGAACGCTCAAACATTTCTACAACTTCATGTTTGTCAAAGTGCTAATCATTGTACTTATCTATTGATGATAATTAACTTCTGTTCTAAAAACGAACTATCAAAATCGCTATCAAAGTCCTTAGGTTAAACCACTTCTTATCATATTGAAACTCATATTTGTTCATTGAAAAAACTGTGGACTTTCAAAAGAAGTAATTTAATTTTTGTTAGAAAGAGCAATGTCTAAACTTTACAGATATATTTTCTTAGAACGCATTTGAAAAGAAGGAAAAGTTTAAAAAAAACATCTCTAAAACATTTCTTGCAACTTCACTATCGAACAACATCATTTTATATTTTATGTTAATCTTTTTATATTCGAAAAAAATGAAAAAAATACATTTAATAATGTTTTTTCTTTGTAATATAAAGAGTACTCTAATCAATAATATGTTGCAAATCTAATTTATTCTTTGTTTTGAATAACAGAATGTGTCTTTTGTGAAAGAAACTAAATCATTTCTTTGTTCTTACTGTCTAGCCGCTTAGCAATAATGAAAAGTACTTCTTGAATAATTTCCTCTTCTGCTAAGCTTCAATGATCCGATATATTTTGAATAGATAATGCAAAAAGAACCCAGTTTATACACGGTCACCATTGATGATAGCTAATAGGCTGAGCTCTCTCTAATTCCCGCCTGGTTACGTCATTAGTTTAGAAGTCGATAGTATAGCCTAATAGAGTTTGATATTTTTGTAAAGATTTTTGCTTTCTATGTTAGTATTATTCTTAACATTCATATGTTAATATCATGATATATCACATCTGGTTTTTTTAGATTGAATGAAACGTAATATTTGCATATCTGTAGAAAAAATTTGTCTGGAAAAAAATAATCAAACGAAATTCGGTGATTCAAATATAATGAAAAATACTACAAAAGTTTTAAGATAATTTACTATTGAATTTCCTCCCAAAAAAGTCAATATTCGTCAGAAAAATCGAAATTGAGATGAATGCACGGAAAGATAGTTCGAGACAGAGATGATACCGGACTGGTTGGTCCGAAATTCATATCGACATTGGACTGACGAGTTGTCATATCTTTCCAACTGTGGATAATGATATTTGACATAGTCAACTTTTAACAAAGTTTCATTACATATCCTCTATGAGATATGAAGAGCAAAAAAGATTAATAAGACATACTAATACTGGTTCTATCTCTGACTCGAGATCTAATCTTTTATAAACGATGTGAATTTTTATTTACCATCTCTTTTTTTCTACCAAAATATTTGATGATTTCACTCATCTTCTGTTTGAAAAATATGTTTTTCTAATTGCGCATATCAGAATTCTTGAAGAAGTTTCATTATAGAAAATGGATTTTTTGTTTTTGAACGAGCATGTCAAATTCAAGTGTCTGACAGAGCATTGTTTTTTTGATTAAATTTTTTAAAATAATTATATAAAAAACACTACTTCTATAAATATATGACCATGTTTTCGACAGTTTTTCAAGGTGTTGAACTTATCATCGTTTTACACCACATCAAAAGTAAGAAATTAAAAAAGAAGGACTCTACCAGGCACTGCAGTTTGACATGTTTTTTCAGCTGCAGAAAAAATTAAATCTATAGAATCAAGGACCAGAGAAAATTTTGAGGTACCAAATCAACTATTTTTTAATCTTGTTTATTGAATATCTCCCAAAAACAACATGATATAAGGTTGAAAATTTTACCATCAGCTCTTTATCACAGTTCTAACATATCCTGAAAATTCCATGCAAATTGAATGCACTTCATCCAAGATCACAATTTTTAAGGGACAAGGTTTCGAAAACAAACAATCTCTCTCACTAATAAAATAAAGAATACTTTGTAATTAATTTTACATAAATCTCACCGTATTCAATATTTCCACATAACATGATATTATTATTCTATTTAAAAAAGAAAACAAAACAAAATTACTACTTTCAAATAATAATTTAATAATAATGTGTTCATCGATTTCTATTCGATATAGATATCACTAGAAACAAAAAAACAACTAGAACACGATGATCAATAACTTTGTATATAATTCAATTATATTCTATAGTTAATAATAACATCGATTGAATGATTCTTTTCATCGAAATAAAATTCCCAATTCACAAATCATTTTCAATTGATTACACAAAACAAAACATTTTAAAAGAAAAAAAAACGATCCAAATAACTTACTTCAATAAATAAACCATTATTTTCTTGCATCAAAGAAAGACAACATGAATAACAGACAAACAATTACTACATATTAACATAAGTCTCTTCTTATTCTAATAAGAGACGCATGCGCATAAATACACAAAACTAAAGAGATATTCGCAAAGAAATATAATTAATAGTATAAGAAAAGTACTTCTCATTATTATTATTATTATTATTATTATTATATACGTTCTGCTGCTTCCTGTCTGTTTTCCTCTTTCCTTTTCCGTCATTAGTCTGTTGAGCTAATAATACATTTAATAAAAATAATAAAATATTCTTCTTGGTACTAGATATTTAAAAACAAAACAAAGTTTACGTATTACGTACTTAGGGCAGTCATATGGGACTTTCTATAGTTTAGTCAATTAATAATCTATTTGAATTCTCCAGACATATTAGGTATTGACCTCCATCGTTGACTTTTTTTTTCTTGAAGCAAACATCTCTAATAACTATTTTTAGTCTAATTCTCATGATACATAATCTTATGTGTATGGGCTGATGCAATTGAATCAGATTATCATTAATATAAATTACGACTATTCGAAATGTTAATAATACCTTTTAATATTATTTTTATCTTCTTGTAAATCCTATCATTTTATTAAAAAACAATAGAACAAGCTGAAAGGATTAAGACAATCTTGTTTTTTCTTTTTGAAAATACCCATATTTGTTATATATGAGAC